TCTGAACGCCCTCTTCGTTCTCCGCCGTCTCTTTCTCGTCCCTCCTTTCGACTCTTGCTCCTTTCAGCTACCTACTTATACTCAGTCAACCCTTTTCATTGCGAAAACGTCGTTCTGCAATTCACCCTTTCCCTTCTTCCGCTTTTCCATCTTTCTCCCATTTTCTCTCTGTTTCTCTGCGCGCTTTCTTCCCTTTTTTTTATGCGCCGTTTGAGGACGCTTCACTTCCTTGTCAGCATTCCCTCTTTCTCTGCGTCAGAGAAAACTCCCGTTCTAGGCTTCTTTTCTATCACTCCATTCCATCGAACATTGCCCATCGCACGCTCTTCTTCAAGGAGCAGCCGCTCGACTTCCGACTATTTAACCCTCTTAATTAACAGCCGGTATAAGAGCCTCAGGTTCGATCTCTTCCATGGCACGCGACCTTCTTTGAAAGGAAAGTCGAGTGGAGCTTTTCGCTTTTTACTTTCGGCCATAAAAAGTAAGGGAAATTTTGATGTAATTCTACAAGGTATCGAGTAAACTGAATAAGAATTATCAAATAACAGAAGTAAGCGAATTATTATTTTCCGATTATTCCTATCGTATCTCATTGTACACAAGTATCTTTTTTTTGCTTTATTGTTACAAAATTAGACAATCTTCTCCAAATAACTGTTTCGCCATAAATCGTGTTATGTCGGCGATGAATCATGCTACTGTGAAATTCGGTCGGTGCCAAAGTGAAATCCTATTCGCGTGATGCATCAAATGATGTATAGTTTCAGTAAATCGCATGTGCAGGAAAGCAATAAATTGAAATTGCATCTTCATTATGCAGTTTGTTAAGCTCATTCGTTGCATCCGTTATTTCTCCGAAGTAAAACAAAAAAACTCGTAGTTTAATTTATTCACACAAGTATTTTTCTTGGAATCAATATTTCACTATTAATTGTTAAAATTAAATTGTAACATATTGCAAATATTTAAATGACAGACTTAAATAATGCAAAGCAATTAGATTTCTCGACAAAAAAAAAAAAAAATGAAAAAGCTTATGATTTGTGTATTGTAAAGATATCAATATGACAGATATGACAGAATATGTATATGTATGAAATAGTACACTGCCGGTTTTTTAGTGATTTAAACAGTCGTGCAGTTTATTGTACATTTACAACTACTGCAATGCTCAAGTGTGAAAAGATGCCTGAAGCAATGCCAAGATGATGCTGCCGCCGAACGATACACAAGGAAAGCTTGTTATTTCGCTTCGCTCGATAGGTCAACAAAACTTTGTTTTTTCGACAAAACAGTTTGCAATAAAAATGACTTGAAATCATTTACAAATTTAATACTATGTCTGCGCAAAAAGCGGTGTGTAGAATGTCTGAAGAAGTGTCAAGTATACATTTGACACGTATGTTCCCGTAATTAAAAGAATTCTATTAATTTAATATCTTTACACATAAATATAAGGCTTATATTTATAAGCATTAAGTTAATAAGTAATAAAATACTAGAATGTAATTATTTCTAACTGTACAGTATTTAAGCAATTAAAAATCAAAGATGATGGAATTATAGCTATCGTAATATATGATACATTATTTGAAACTTGCAATATTTAAAATTCTATTATCCAAGTAATAATGAAAAGATTATTCTTATAATTTCCAATGAATTGGATGGAAAGACTTCTAGAGAAAACTGCGTAATTTACAAGATATTTAAAGGAATAATTGTTACATGTTATTAAATTTCTTCGTTAAAGAAAGCTTTCAGAGATTTTAAATAACAAAATATCACATTTAATCAATGCAATTTATTACGATTCAGTCACATTTAACATATCAAGCATTGTCGACGGTCCGCACGCGGCTTTATAGAGATCGTCGCACGCTCCACACGCTTTCGCTTTCGATCGATAATAATTATTCTCGTAAATTCAGGCATAAGCGCGCGCGTATGAAGGGTAGAGGCTGGGAAGGGGGAGGGACGGAATCGCCGGGCCTGCTCGGTTAAATGCTCGTAATGACGTCTCGTAATTGCATCGAAAGTTTCCAGGGAAACTGTAATTATCGTACGGGCTCACTTCCAACGATATCTTCGTTCCCCGTCCGCCTGTAATCGACGGGACGCCAAACCTGAAGAAAGGAAAGCCGCTTTTCCGACGGAATATTTTTCCAGGCGGGCGAGGACGGCGTTATCTCGAATCGAAAAGAGGATCGAGGGCTTCATAATGGAGTCCCGGCCTCGGATATTCGAAAGAGAGAGAATGCGAGGAAGAGAGACGCGCTCAAAAGTGCGTCATTTAAAATTTCCTCTAATCCCCGCTCCAATTAAATCAATTAGCGCCGACGAAAAGATTGTTTAATTCTCTTCATTTGTATACGCCACGATTCTCCTGTGTATACTTTCTGTTATAACCGCCATTTTTAATCCGCGACTTTGCTTTGTTAAATTCCGGCATTCATTTTACGAAATCAATAGACGTGCATACTGTATAAATTTTTCACCTACCTTTACAAATTTCACAGTTTTAATAGTTTGCATTAATATCTCAAATTATATATAACATATAAAGGCAATAATGATTATCGATTCAATGCGATTAACGCGATGTTGCTTGTACTTATTCATCAATTTTGCAATTCTAATAGTTGTTTTTATTGTCCGCATAAAATCGATAAAAACCAGAGAAAGTAACAATTGTTCATCATAATATCAACAATATATTTTGTATTTCACGATAAAAAAATGCGTTGTTTTGCGCGGAAGACACAGCTTCGGCAATAAATAGATGTTTACGACAGGTTATTTTGCTTGTATCGATGATTACTCAAAGATTCATCGAGCTGCCATGTTGATTTGAATAATTTATTCGAACGATCAACTGTATTAATATTCATTATTCGGTCAATCATCGGCACTCGGATAATTATCTACGTAAACGTTCATTATTCGGCTAAGCGGATGCGTCTGCCGATTGATTCAGCACTCCGCATATGCCAAAGCTATCCAAACATTTCTATCAACAACAACGCTGACACATACAGTAACAATCGTGATTTGTGATCCAGAGGTGACTAAATATGTGTTCCGTTCGAAGGATAATCACTCCTAATATTTATACAATATCACAGCTATGTTAATACTTCCATTCACGTCTAGAGATAATCGACTCAGTCTTTGCCTGCTCGCGATGAACCGACTGCACGAGGTTTAATACTAAAGAATCATTTTCTTTAGCCAATTCTACTTTTCTCTACATGTTTCGCAGTAATTATTAGTTAACGCAATTAACTTTGAGATCGATTATAACTGATTCACTTACCCCACTAAAGGTCTTGACGTTATGAAGAGCGTTCTGCGCTGCCAACGCCGCTTTTCTAGTGTAAAAGGTGACAAAGCAACATCCTGGAACAGAAAATTAATGAACAGTTAATTAGATATTTAACGAGAATTGAAGCAATTGATTATATCGCTAGCTGAAAAGATCGCAAGACTGGCATGTTTCACATCAATTAAATAATTCTTGTTGCGAATCCGTTACCGAGGCGCCTATATGAAGTTAGCCCCCCATTTTTCGATTTTGAATATTTTTTTAGTTGTTCCAGGTTGTTCTACGTTTGTTCTATATTGTTCCAAAGTTATGAACAAAAAAATCGAAAAACATGACGGGAAAAGCAAAAAAACGATTTTATTTTTTGTGGCCACCCATTTTTTTTTAAATTCAAATTTTTTTTGCTGTTCTGGATTGTTCTAATTGTTCTAAACATTGTTCTAAAATATTAATCCCCC